TTCAGACACAGCGCGATGCAAACCCATCGCCTCTTGCGAAAATAAAGAAAGACGTGCATCCGGTGAATACCCTACAGCTGTGGAGTTGTATATTTTTGTATATTTATTCCAGCAGGCTTTAATTGGAGTGCATGCTTCTGGCAGAAAAACTGTATAATTTGATACTTGCTTGTTGATGTTGCGTGACTTCACGTCGATCCTGATTTATGCCAATGCTAAAGTGGAAATGTGCATGTAACTGAGTAAAATACATGTAACTCTTCTAAACAGTGTTGTCTTAGTCCTAGGAAATGTCTTCCAGAAAAGACATTTCCTAGGATGTTACGTATATCTCATTCGCTATGAAGGTTGCATGGTATATCTCATTCGATACGGTGCCAAGAGACTAGAGGATCGGGTGGTACAATGGATTAAACCAGGCACAGGCAAACTTTGGCCCTCCAGGTATTTTGGACTTCAACTCCCACAATTCCAATTGAAGTCTAAAATACAAGGAGGGCCAAAGTTTGCCCATGCCTGGGTTTGCCCATGCTTACACCAGGACTGTGGCACAGCTGGCTGGGAGTCAGCTGCATTAAGATCACTACTGACCAAAAGGTCATGAGTTCGAAGCCAGCCTGGGTCGGATTGAGCTTCCGACCAATTTGTGTAGCTTGTTGTCGACTTTTGCATCTGTCAAGAAGGAAATTAAGGCTAATTTAACTAATCCACGAGGCCATAAAAATCTCCAGCAAGTATGCAAAGAATGAGGAAGTACTTCATCCATGTCACAAATCGACGGTGAAGCGACAGCTCCCCTGGTGGCCAGAATACCCTCATGAAAAGCTGGAATGTTAAATGGCCTCTGAGATCACTACTGACTGAAGGGTCATGAGTTCGAAGCCAGCCTGGATTGGAGTGAGCTTCCGACCAATTTGTGTAGCTTGTTGTCGACCTTTGCAGCCCGAAAGACAGTTGCATCTGTCAAGTAGGAAATTCAGGTACCGCTTATGCGGGGAAGTTAATTTAACTAATTTACGAGGCCATAAAAATCTCCAGCAAGCATGCAAAGAATGAGGAAGTACTTCATCCATGTCACAAATGGACGGTGAAGCGACACCTGTCAAGTAGGAAATTAAGGTACCACTTATGTGGGGAGGCTAATTTGAGAGCATCGGAGGAGGCCCTGTTCTCGATCCCACCTTCTTCACAAGCCTGTCTGGTGGGGACGAGAGACAGGGCCTTCTCTGTGGTGGCCCCTCGGCTGTGGAACTTCCTGCCCAGCTTTACAATGGTTCATGGGAGGGAGTTGCCTCAGTCAGGTCAACGTTGTTATTTCATCACAGTCTTGCTTTCAAGTCCTCTTAGTTTCATGCACCAAGTTTTTGCCAAGCTTAAGATTTGATTTTCCTGCTCTCTTGGTTCATGGAATTTTATGTACTCATGGATCTTGTTTTCCTTTGAAGCTTATGGACTATTTAATATATATTGGACTGTTTTTTCCTATTCTTTACTGCTTTGCCTACATTTATTCTTCAATAAACCACTTGCTGATTTTACCAAGCTGGTGTAGTATTTAAGGTCAGAGGTGTTCCTACTCTGGTGTACAACAAGCCCCCAGAGTCAAAAATGCGAACCACCTCCAGTGCTGGAAATGAAAAGAGAAGCCTTTGCCTTTGTCTGTGTTATTTGAGTCTCATTGTAACAAGGCACTGAATGTTTGCCTGTGTCTTATATTCTATAATCCACTCTGAGTCTCCTCGGGGAGAAGAGAGGAATATAAATAAAGTACGAGGGTTATCCGGAAAGTAAGGTTCCAAGGCATGTAGCTCTCACGGGGAATTTTCCTGGAGGAAGTTGGTATCACTGCCATGTAGTGGGAAGCCAGTGGGAGGAAACGAGCAGTGCCAGTTGTTAGTAGCTCATCAGCTGGCATTGTGGTGAAGGTTACAGATGAGCGTCCTCATTCCATTTCTCTCCAAGTGCGACGTTTACACTGTAATGCACTACCTAAATGTGAAGGGCATGAACGCTGCTGCAATTCTCACAAAATTGTTTCAGTTTATGTCATGACACAACATAACAAAATGGGTACGGAATATATTGCGAGAACATGACGAAACTTTGCAGAGCCATCCAAAACAAACGTCGTGGGATGCTGACAGCGGATTTGTGCATGTGCATAGAGATGTGCATGTGATTCTGATGCACATTTGGTTATGCATTCGTCACACAGTGTTGCCATTTAGACGGCATCTCTTCTCCTGCAGAAGCAGATTTGGGCATGTGCGTCGGGATGTGCATGAGATCTGGATGCGCATTTGGTTGTGCATTCAGTCACACAGTGTTGCCATTTAGGTAGCACCTTTTCTCCCACAGAAGCAGATTTGCACATTCAGTTGTGCATTCAGCCACACTGCGTGGCCATTCAATGCAAGGATTGTACAACACAATCAAAACATAACTCCATATATAGGCACCTGCAGCATGCAATCCAACACTTTCTCGTTTCCCCTGCAACAGCCACGAGAGCAAGAGTGTCACGGATTGGACTACCATTTGGATGACACTTTAGTTTTGATTCCACCTCTTTCTCTTTTAGATGCATCGCATTGCCTTCATGTGTTTAATTTGAGCAAAATGGGGTTTTTTCCCCAGGACTGTTGCTCCGCAAATGGGAACATTCCGCTGCCGTCTCCTTCGGTTTAAAAAAGGATCGACGAGACATGCCAGTATTCCGCCTCCCGGCAAGATTTCTCATTCGATTCCATTTGGGGCAATAAAGAGCCGAGTGCACGGCACGGCAATGCCGTTTGCGCCGACACAGAGAGTTTAATCGACGTCTGGCTGGAGCCATTCCAGCAGAGCCATCCGCCCCATTCACAAGGCGACCCGGGAGAGTCTGTTAAATTGCCGCATTTGACGATCTCTCCCCTTTCTAGTGTAAACATACTGAAAGGGGGGAAAGAAAATTGGCTAATTTGTCTAAGGCGCAAAGAGATGCATGCCTCTGATATAAGTGATATCAACTTGGAATTGATCTTTTTCTACAATGGGGGCAATGCATTGCAAAGCAAGAGGCAATTAATTCAATCTTACTTTTTGGCCAGAGGAAAGCAGAGGATTCCTTAATGGTCTGGGACAGCTGCAAGCATGTCTTTATCTACACTGTAGAATTAATGCAATTTGACACCACATTAACTGCCATGACTCAAAGCTATGGCGTCTTGGGAGTTGTAGACTGTCAAGGACCTTAACCTCCTGCCAAAGAGTGCTAATGACCCAGCAAAATATAAATCCCAAGATTGAATAGCCATGGTGGTTAAAGTGGCTTCAAGATGCATTCAGTGATGGATGGATGGATGGATGGATGGATGGATGGAAGGAGAAAGAGGGAGTGAGGGAAGGAGGGAGGAAGACGGAAGGAAGGAAGGAAGGAAGGAAGGAAGGAAGGAAGGAAGGAAAGAAGGGAAAGATGGAAGGAGAAAGAGGGAATGAGGGAAGGAGGGAGGAAGAGGGAAGGAAGGAAGGACGAAAATGTGGAAGGAAAAACAGAAAGGGAGGGATGAAGGAAAGCATAGGAAGGATAGGATGGTGAGAGAGAGGAGGGCTTGAGAAAAGAGTCCAAGGGGCCACATCTGAAAAGCAGAAAATATACATCTGAGAAGCAGAAAAATATACACAATGACTTTTCTTGGCAAGCTCCTGCACACAAAAACCTAAACATGTAACTGTTGCCAAAACTTCCAGGCTCAGCTAGCCTATCGGGCACAGCCCAAAGGAGGGAGGAAAGAGGGAAGGAAGGAAAGACAAAAGGGAGGAAAAGAGGGAAGGATGAAAGGGTGGAAGAGAAGTGGAAGGAAGGGAGGGAGGGAGGGAGGGGGAGGGGAAAGAGGGAAGGATGGAAAGAGGAAGGAAAGAGAAAGGGGAAGGAAAGAAGGAAGGAGGAAGGAGGAAAAAGGAAAAAGGGATGGAAAGGAAGGAAAGAAAAAAGGGAAGAAAGAGGGAGAGAAGGAGGAAGAGGAAAAGGAAGAGCAAAAGTGTGGAAGGGAAGGATGGAAGGAGAAAGATGGAGAGAAGAAGGAGGAAGGAAAGAGAAAGGAAGGAAAGAAAAAAGGGAGGGAAGGAAGGGAAGGAAAAAGTGGAAGGAAGGAAGGAAAGAAGGGAGAGAGGGAGGAAGGAGAAAGAGGGAGAGAGGGAAAGAGGGAGGAAACAGGGAATGAAGGAAGTGAGGGCGGAATGAAGGAAGGAAGAAAGAGAAGGAGGAATGAAAAACAGAAGGAAGGATGGAAGGAAGGGCGAGGGGGATGGGGAAGAAAGAGGGAGAGAGGGAGGAAAGAAAAAAGGAAGGAAGGACAAAAGGGTGGAAGGGAAGGATGGAAGGAGAAAGAGAGAGGGAGGTAAAGAGGAAGGAGTGAGAAAAAGGATAGCAGAATGGGGTTGGACTTGGTGGCCCATGTGGCCTCTTCCAACTCTATAATTCTACATTATTATTGTTGTTGTTATTATTATTATTTGCAACCCTGGGGCTTGTTGCGGCATCAGAGCTCTCTAACAGAAGAGTGAATACAAATCCCACAAAATGAAGAATTGTATTGAGTGATGCATTACTTCTATAGTGCAGATGCACACTAGGGAAAGGTTTGCGCTGTTGCCCACCTCTCCTCCAGGTCAATCCACCCCTCCATCCTTTTTGACAGAACTGTCAAAGAGATCTAGGTTCTTGTGGGTTTTTTCGGGCTATAGAGCCATTTCTCCTGACATTTTGCCTGCATCTATGGCAAGCATCCTCAGAGGTAGTGAGGTCTGTTGGAACTAGGAAAAAGGGTTTATATATCTGTGGAATGGCTGGGGTGGGGCAAAGAGCCTTTTCTCTGCTGGAGCTAGGTGTGAATGCAGGCGAAACGTCAGGAGAAATGCCTCTAGAACATGGCTCTATAGCCCGAAAAAACCCACAAGAACCTAGTGATTCCAGCCATGAAAGCCTTCGACAATACATTGTCAAAGAGATCGATGCCTACCTCGCAAATGTCCTTCAGGTGCTTGATATAGTGGCGCTCGGTGCTCATGATTTCGTTGATGACGTTGGCTCTCATCTGGTCCCGGTTCTGGAGGGTCCTGCCCAGGCAAAGGCAGTCCGCGGCGCTGGGGTCCAAGTGCCCATTCTGAACTTCGCTCGGGCCTTCCTCAACTCCATCTTCTTGGTTGACCCATAGCTGCAAGGAAAGGCAACACAATGACAAGGGAGCTTTTTTTGGATATCCATTCCTAACAGAGGGTCCAGTTCTCTGACGCAATCAGAACTCTAAATGTCCACACGAAGCCATGCATATCTGGAAAAAAATGTGCATCACATAATAATAATGTTCCAGAACATAATAATAATAATAATAATAATAATAATAATAATAATAATAATGGAGCCCCCGGTGGCGAAGTGGCGAAGTGGGTTAAACCCCTGTGCTGGCAGGACTGAAGACCAACAGGTCGCAGGTTCGAATACGGGGAGAGGCGGATGAGCTCCCTCTATCAGCTCCAGCTCCTCATGTGGGGACATGAGAGAAGCTTCCCATAAGGATGATAAAAACATCAAATCATCCAGGCGTCCCCTGGGCAATGTCCTTGCAGACAGCCAATTCTCTCACACCAGAAGCGACTTGCAGTTTCTCAAGTCGCTCCTGACATGACAAAAAATAAAATAAAATAATAATAATAATAATAATCTTTATTTATACCCTGTCACCATCTCCCCAACGGGGACTCGGAGTAGCTTACACGGGGCCAAGCCCGGACAACATGTTACAGCAAAATAAAACCAAAACATAAACAAGCAACATCATCAAAATTACATAGAAAAAAAGGTATAAATACAGTAACAAAATAACATTCCAATAAACACAATCACGATAACTGTACAGCTGAGCTGTACACCCAGAAAACATGGCCGTACAGCCCGGAACATGGCTGTACCGCCCGGAAAACACACAACAACCCAGTGATTCCGGCCATGAAAGCCTTCGACAACACATTGAACATTATTATTGTTTTTCCGTTGCACGGAAAATGCCAAAATGACCTCTATTAGGATTCAGGGCCCAAGTTGCACGAAGCTAAGAAAAGGACACAAAGGTAAAAGGTGTTCCGTTGTCATCATTCAAACTTACTGTAAGTCTGACGGCACTTACGTCTGTCTTTATTAAAAACCTCCGGAACGTTTTTGTCCTCTGAATTTGCCAAAGGGTGCATCAAGTCTCCCTTTCCTACCATGTATTTTCTCCGGGTTTTTCCTCCCGGCCGTTGATTAAATTTCTCAAAACAACGTCCTTTTCATGACTGCGGCAGTCTCTTTCTCCCAAAAGGTCAAGAAACGGGAGAGCGCAGAAACAACGGATTGAAAGATGCAGCGAACACAAAAGGGCTTCTTTTCCAAAGGATACGGGGGAAAGAGAGGGCGGTACTTGGGATTTCATTAGGAATAATTTATTAATGATTGCAACAGGCCTTAATAAATGTGATTTTAGTGATTTGCTTTAAACAACTGGATGTTGACTTCTACTTTAATACTAGCTGTCCCCTGCCACATGTTGCTGTGGCCCAGTGTGTTGATCTGGAAAATAAAGTAATGAGAAAGTGTTGGTTTCTAATATATGTAATTTCTTTATGCTTGTGGTTAATAAACCTGGTTATTCCAGTGTGACCCATTTAAGGTGGAATCAGGTATCAAACAGGGATGTATTATTGCTCCAACCTTATTCTCCATCTTCATCGCTATGATACTTCACCTTCTTGATGGGAAGCTTCCCACCAGAGTGGAAATCATCTATCGGACAGATAGCAAGCTGTTTAACCTCAGCAGACTGAAAGCCAAAACCAAGGTTAAAACAACATATGTTATAGAATTCCAGTATGCTGATGATAACGTCATCTGTGCGCATTCAGAAGAAGATCTACCAGCCACTCTAAACACCTTCACAGAAGCATACGAGAAGCTCGGCCTCGCATTGAACATCGAGAAAACCAAAGTGCGGTTCCAGCAGACACCAGCCAATCCCTTTCCAATGCCAGAGATACAGCTTAATGGTGTAACATTAGAAAATGTTGGCCATTTCCACTACCTTGGCAGCCACCTCTCCACCAAAGTCAACATCGACACCGAAATACAACACCACCTGAGCTCTGCGAGTGCAGCATTTTTTCCGAATGAAACAGAGAGTGTTTGAGGACATCCATTGGGAGACCAAAATGCTTGTTGTAAAAGCTATTGTCCTCCCAATCCT